CCAAGATCAGCCCTTGAATCTCGAATTTCTAGAGAGAGAAAGTGAGAGAGGAAAGAGTTTGATCTTCTTGGTGAAATGAGAGCAAATGAGAGAAGTGAGGAGAGAGGATGAATATTCAGCTCTCAAAAACGTGGGAAAGAGTGATAATTGAGTGGAAGGGACATTGAAGTGACCTAGGTAAGATGGGGAGGTGTGGCTGGTCATAGAGTGGGTGTGAGAGTGGTTGCTTGTGTCATAAGGTAAAGCAAAGTCAACACTCCACCTCTTTGTACTTTACCCACTTGCTTTTATTATTTAAATAAAGATTTTTATGAAAATATGATTAAATTGTGAATATTTAGGGTTTATTATGTTAAAATATGATTTTGGGTGAAAATCCCGCGTTAAAATAATTAAAAACGGGCCTTAAACGCAAAACTACGCGAAAACCGGGAAGAAAAGCATTCCCAGCGAGACCTCTCGGTCCCTAGGTCGAGGTTCGGTCCTTGCTGGGGGCTGTAGCCAGAAACGAAACGAACAGAGGGAAACGAAGGGGGCGAAGAAGCGAAGGGAGGCGAACCGGAAGCGAGAGGCGAAGGCGAGGGGGTTCGGTCCGGAGATAAGAGGCGAACGTGTCCGACCGAAATGAGCCGAATGAATAGTGGTGAACAGTGCCTTCGGGTTCGGGTGGTACGCGAGGTTCGGTTCCTCCTTGCTCTCGGGTTTAGCCCTTCTTGCTCTCGGTCCCTAAGAGGACCTTCGGGTCCTAAGAGGCTTCTCTTCTTATAATGAGGTTTCGGTTCCTAAGGTCCATTTTTCTCGTTTTTACCTCGTTTTAAGCTGTTTTTGACCCGGTTAAGGGTCGGAATGACCCGAATGATTCTAAAAAGTTACGGGAAACTTTTGAGAGAGATTTGGGAGAGATTTCACATACTTGGAGAGATTTGGGAGAGATTTCACATACTTAGAGAGATTTCTCATACAAAGCGAGTTTTGGGAGAGGTTTCACATACTTAGAGAGATTTCAAATAGAGAGAGATAGAGTGAAAACGATTGAGAGAGGTTTCGAGTGTGGCTTTTGTGAGTGTTCGGCTTCGCAATGCAAGGTCCGTAAACACTGTTAAGCCTTGTTTAAGGATCTTACACACTCCCGATGAGTATGCAACATTGTTTTATCGGTTTGGCTCGCCATGTACCACAGTTTTAGGTTAAGGAGATCTAGATGTTCGCACTTTTTGATTTATGATCTCTCGTTAGAATAGAGAGTTGTGTAGAAATTTCATAATGTAAATTCTAGTACCCAAGGGCAAATTGAGTCAAACGGTTTGACTTGTTGACTTTATTTGACTTTGACTTGACCGAAATTTGACAGTTGTCACATCATCCCCCCGTTAGAGGGAATTTCGTCCCGAAATTTGAATTTAGGCAAAGAGTAGGCATGAACAATCGAGCCAAGAAGTGAGGATACTTCCTAATCGACTGACTCTCGCGCTCCCATGTGACTCTAGGTCCTTGGTTAGTATTCCAGCGAACTTTCACTAATGGAAGTGGCGTTGTTTTGTCCGCTTGACCTCTCGGTCCATGGTCACTATGGTTCTTCCATGAAGGTGAGGCTCTTGTGGAACTCGATCTCGTCGAGGGGAATTGCAAGAGCTTCGTCGGATAGATACTTCCGTAAGTTCAGGACGTGTCGTGTAGAATGTACTTTACCAAGCTCGCGGGAGTAGATTGAAGTAGCGAGTTATATGGCTGATTCTGACAGAATCTCGAAAGGCATAATTATCTGGGGTATTGGCTTTCCATATTTTCCGAAGCGTACTAAGCCTTCCCAGGGTGAGTGTTTCCAGAGGGATTTGGTCTGTTATAATGGAGTTCTAAAGGTTTCTCCCTCTTGCTTCTCTTCCCATCACGGGTTGCCCCCAGGCCATGCAATCGATCCAAAACGTAGATCTACCCTTCTACAACCCTTCCATAACGTAAAGTGACAAACTTTACGTGAATCCAAAGAGATCTAGGCATTTACACTCTAGGGCTAGGGTTTGGGACAAGATGGCTTCACCAAACACTCAATAAACAGGGACTTTAATGCACTCTAGATCTTCTCCATTCCAAATCTAAGGTAGCAACCTCAGATCTAACCTTTAAACTCTAAATACCACAAGCTAAACTTCCCACACATCCCAAAAATGATGAATCTAGATGAATAGAAGCCCAAAAACGAGATAATACCTCAAAAGGAATCCCCCAACAACAAGGAAATCCGAATCTAAGCAAATCCCTTTGATCCAAGCCTCCTGACTCTCCAAGATCTTCCTCCAAATCACTTCTCCAAGGCTCAAAAGCACTCAAATCCTTCACAATCACACTTCTAGGGTTTTCTGGATTTCAAGGGAAGGTAGGGAGGCTGGGTAGAGGGTATAATGTCCTTTATATAGGGCTCATCCCCTGAAATTAGGGTTTTCTTCACTCAGCGCCTACTCGCCGAGTCCAGCCTTGGACTCGCCGTGTTGGCCACTTAACACGCGACCTGAGTCGCGACCCTACTCGCCGAGTCCACCCATGGACTCGCCGAGTTGCCCTTCAAATTTACACTTTGAACCCCGAACTTGCACTCCTGGACTCGGGATGTTACAATTCTCCCCCACTTAAATTAGGATTCATCCTCGAAGCCTACGGCAACACAACTTCAGAACTACTCTCGCAGTGCATCTCTTGGCATTAACCAAACCAGATTCCTCTAAACACAGCCATCGAAACCCGAATCTCAACTTTCTCTTTTCTTGCGGTGTCTTGACCCCCGCTTCAAATCGGCCACCGGCTTCATCCTCTGATAACCACACCTAACCACCGAGTACCACTCCCTGATACTTTGCTCACCCCAAGTCACAACACTCACTTGATTCATACGAGCTAGAGATAATCCCTGAACCACCAGAATCCCATTCTGAATTCAACTTTACCCACTCTATGCTGATTGGATGATACATCACTTAATCTCATAGCAACTCTCACGAGTCCCTCTCCGCAATCTCATACCCATGTTGAACTGGCTCTAACATCCTCGGGTTGGAAAACCCGATACACTAACAACACCTCCAAACATTCCCCAGGATGAATTACCACTGCATACACAATTTCTTAACCAAAAATCGAGTTGGGAATCCAAGACTCCATCTCTGCATCCCTTATGAGCCTCTTGACTTTACACCCTCGGAATTTCCTTCCGTGACCTCGGCAGACATCCCAATCGGATGTGATTCCATATCACCGCCGCACATACTGCACAATATCTTTTGATGTTTAGATCTTTCAACAACTCCTATAGAAGTCAAGGAATACTTTCTCGAATTTTTAATTGTAGATAGTACAACTGCTAAAGGCTTATATGATGCTATAGTTGATGAAATAAAAAATATAGGACTGGATATAAATAATGTTAGGGGTCAAGGTTATGACAATTGATCTAATATGAAAGAAAAAAATCAAGGTGTATATAAACGATTGTTAGATATCAACCCTAGAGTATTCTACACTCCTTGTGGTTGTCATAGTTAATTTAGTAATTTGTGATATGACTAATTATTATGATAAAGCTAGTGAATTTTTGGAGTTATACAATGTATACATTCGATATTTTCTTCATCAACTCAAAGGTGGAAAATATTACAAGATAATATATCAAACCTAACACTTAAACCATTATCAGAAACTTATTGGGAAAGTAGGGTAGAAAGTGTAAAAACAATTAGATTTCAAGCATCACAATTAAGAAATTCACTTTTACAGTTATCCAAAAATCATGGAGATCCAAAAATTAAAAGTGAGGCTAAATGTTTAGCTACATATGAAATTAAAACATATGAATTTTTATTAGGAATGATTATTTGGTATGATATTTTATTTGCTATTAACACTGTTAGTAAAAGCTTGCAATCAAATGATATGTGTATTGATGATGCTATAGATTAACTAAATGAACTTTTGTGTTTCTTTGAAGAGAAAACAGATTTGAAAAGACTTTAGCTTATGCAAAAGAATTGACTTTAGAAATGAAAGAACAACCGTAATTTCATGAAAAACGTATCATTTAAAGAAATAAACTATATGATGAAAATGTTGCTAATGAAACTATTAAAACTTCTTTTCGGTTATTTAAAACTGCTTACTTTTTATATATTGTAGATAAAACTATTACTTCACTTAAAAGTAGATTTGAGCTATTTAATGAGTTCAAAAATATTTTTGGCTTTCTAATTAGTATAATAAAATTAAAATCATTTGATGAAAATACTTTAAAAGAACATCGTTTAAATCTTGAAAAATCATTAAAGCATGATGATAGCTTAGATATTGATGGTTTAGATTTATTTATGAACTAAAACTTTTAAAAAATATTGTACATTTAGAGCATGATACAATCATTAATATACTTAATTACATTAAAAAATTTAGTTCTTTTCCAAATACATATATTGCCTATATAATTATGTTAACTATTTTTATAATCGTTGCCTCTGCGAAAAGAAATTTTTCTAAATTAAAATTGTTAAAAAATTATTTAAGATCTATGATGGCACAATAAAAAATAAATCAATTCGCTATTTTATCAATTTAAAAATATTTAGTGAAAAATTGATTATAATTTTTTTATTAAAAGACTAGAAAAATTAACATTATGTCTTAAATATATACGCAAAACAACATATATATATATATATATATATATATATATATATATATATATATATATATATATATGATTTTTTTTAACTCTACAATTTATAAACTTTTTAATTTATTATTGTCGGTTCTAAGTTTGAATAAATATCAAAATTATTGGTTTGTTTAAAACCCAAACTGATTCAACCGCCCTTAGAAGTGGGTTAGTAGGGTTTTACTGGGGGTGGGGTTATTTATTTTGAACGGAAATTAGTTTAAAAAATTATAAAAAAAAAGGATAGAAAAGTCAATTTGTATGGTAAGGAATCAAACTACCCAAGAAATAGACCACATCGACTATTATGTATCGTAAAAACGTTAATGATGAAACTTGCAAATCTAAAAAACACAGGGACTATTTATGTAATTTTGTCTTTTTAAGTTTTTAACTTCACCATAACCAGTTTGAACTTTGACGCACACAGACAGACACATCTCTAGGTCGTCCCTCCACCCCAGCTCCGCCACGTCGACCCTCCGCCGCTTCGGCCCTCCGTCTACAGCTACGCCGTTCGTCCCTCCGCCTACAGCTCCACATCCTTGGCCCTACCCCCTGCTCACCCCGTTACTTTCTGATTTGGTATGCTCTGATTGCAACCCTAAATCTTCGATTAAACGATTAATACTGCACGCTTTCACCATAACAGGTGTCAGATGTGTCTTGAACAAAATCTGTGTCTCCGTGATTCCATTAATGTTAACTGTCAGGATACATCTGAATTGCTCTTCTACTCCGATTTTTAAACGCATTTTCTTTGCAAAAACCCTATACGATAATCAATTGGGGCTTCTTAAATATATAACTCAGAAGAACTGTTCTTGAAGTAATCTTAATTTGTTCACATATGTTTATGATTCAGGAACTTGTAATCATGAGTGGATTACAGACACAAGACTTCCCTTCTACATTAAGATTAACAAAAGCACCAAAAGATGTAATGGCAGAACCTGAATCAAAGCCAAAGAAGAAAATCTGTTGTGCTTGCCCTGACACTAAGAAACTCAGGGATGAATGTGTTGTTGAGCATGGTGAATCAGCTTGCTCAAAATGGATTGAAGCTCATCGATTGTGCCTTCGTTCTGAAGGCTTCAATGTATGAATTCAAATCAGAGATTTCAAATAGAAGGAGACAAATCCAGAATAAATAATTTTTTGTTGATTACGTTATTGAGTTACAAAGGTCGATCCTTTTTTTGATATGTTTTGTTGTTTTGCACACTATTGATTAAATCTTAATAATAAACACTGAGTAATTGTTCTCATTTAACCATGAATCATGTACACATAACCATGGAGTTTTATTGGATCATAGACCAACTAAAATTCTGTTTATTGGTGTATCACGTAATAACTAACTAAAAGATAGTGACACAAAGAGTAAATTGAAAAAGTACTAATGATTGTCGTTTTATGACATTAATAACCTTTTAAAATACACATGCTTACATGCAATTACATGAAGACATAGTTAATAATATGAAGTGGGAAATGGGGGAACTGTGAATTGCTATATCTTTAAAGCTTATATAAGGTTTGATATTTATAGATGTTGTGGAGTCATTGGGAGTTTGGGACCAATGAAACCCAAAATGGAATCTGAATATTTGTTTTTTTTTTGAGCATATATTCCTTCTAAAATTAACCTTTTTTTTTTTTTTTTTTTTTTTTTTTTTTTTTTTTTTTGGTAGACATTTACGTTTGAGCATATATTCCTTTTAAAATTAACCTTTTCACAATACCACTTAATTTTTTTTGGAAACGACATCATTTTAAGCTCTATGTAGTGGTTCATAGAGCCGTAAACGAACTAAACATTCAGCGAACAGTAATGAACCGTTTGGCGGGAAGTTCGTTTATTTAATAAATGAACAAACACGAACATGCATTTATGTGTGATTTTTTTTATGTATCAGACAACTAGTTGTGTGATTCATGTATTACATGTATTTATTTTTAAAAAAATTAAATATAATGTCGAAATATTTGAAAAGCGTTAATTTATAAAAAATAAGAAAAATATTGAATTATTAAAATTAAAGTGATTTTTTCTTTTGTAAATTTATATATAGATTAAAAAAGTGTTCCTCAAGAAACACTAAGTGTTTCCTATTAGACGTTGTTGTTTTTTTTGTTTTTTGTTTTTTTTTTGCATGGTAAAGTTTTCTCCTTCAAGTTTTGGCAACAATTGTTTGTCATGTTAATACTTTTGATCCCTTATTCTCTAATGTTACACCATTTGGTTACAATAATTTATACAACTTACAATTTTGCTCGATACCTTAACTACAATAAGTCATAATATTTTCTATAACTTGGCAGTTTTTACCCTTATCTAATATTAATTTTCGTTTTCCAACATCTAACCACAATAGTTTTTATATTTTGTCAACTTTCGTCCATTTTCTACTACTTGACACTTTTGGTCCATTCTCTAATATTAATTACAATAAGCCATAATATTTTCTACAGCTTGACAGTTTTGTCCCTTCTCTAATATTAATTTTCGTTTTTCAATATCTAACCACCATATTTTCAATATTTTGTCAACTTTCGTCCCTTATGTATATTCTAAAAAATTACACCATAAACAAATACAAACTCTGAAATCTGAAACAACCAAGAAAACAATAAATTTTTTTTCCGACCCTAGCAATGCGAGGGCACACCCTAAATAATTTAGATAATCAAAGAAAATTATTGAGGTTTAATTTAAGTATTTTGAAATTAAAAGGTAAGTTCATTAATGAAACCGATATTCATTTATTATTGCATTTATTGTAATTATTACATTTAAATACTATGTGAAATTTAATAAAATAGAAAAACTATAAAATAACATGTGAAATTTAATAAAATAGAAAAACTATAAAGTAACATGTGGAAGAAAAATTAATTTAGCATCACTACAAAATGACATGTGACAGCGTTGAGAGTGTGAAATACGAAAAAATGATCTTTATTTATTAGAGTAGATGGGAATTGATTAAATCAAAAACTATTTTTATACGGTTTTTGAATATTCCATTAAATACAGGGAGCATAAGTGTAAAAAGAAGTAGTAAACACCAAAGGTTTAGAAAACAAAAATGTAATTTTATAAAATTAAAGGTGGATGGATTAAAGTGATATTTTAAAAAATAAAAAGATAAAAAATATTCCCAGTCTCTAATAAATAAATATTTTTTTTTGCCAATTGTCAAACTCTCATTAAATTTGTCAAATGTCATTTTATGTTTATTTTGAATTTAATTTTTTCCACATATTATTTATGATTTTTTTTATTTTATTAAATCCATTTTTATTAATGTAATAATTACAATAAATATGATAATAAATTGATATCAATTATATTAATGAACTTATTTTTTAATTTTAAAATTCTTAAGATCATTAGTTTTTTTATTAATTTAAATTATTTGTTTAAATTTAAAAGATAAAACCATTTGCATTATAATAATTTATTATTTTTATTATTTTCTTTTAAATTCAAAATTCTTAAATATTTTAACATTTATATTAAACTTTTTTTTTTAAAATTAATTCATATAATATATGAGTTTCTCAATTAGTTTTATAAAATAAAAAAGTTAGAAGGCAACAGAATTATATAAAATTGACGCATTAACATGTACACATTAGTTATTTATATATTAGTATATTTATAATAAATCAATAAAAATTAGATATTTTACCGTGTCTTCCATTTATTTATTTTTTATTAACCCGATTTTATTGGATTTTAAATGCAAATTCTTAAAACGTAAAAACCTTTTTGAATGCCACAAACCAAACACCAAGGTTTGTCGATGGGGAAGAAAGTCCAGGTTTATTGCGGGAAATTGAGACGTAATTGCTAACGATCGAAGAATAAAAACCCTAAGAAAAAAGGGGTTTTCCTTGAATTTTACATGTTCCCCAATTTCTGTTGCTGTTAATACTGCCGATAAATGGAGTCGCCTGCGGCAGGAAAATGCATCCCTCACAAGTCAAAGTAAGATCATTTCTCCCTGAGCTGATAGAATTTAACAGGGGTTTATGCTTTATCTATGATGTGTTTATATGTGTATTTCTATTAGGAAACGAGTATTTCCAGAGATTTCTTCGGGCACTGAATCCAAAGGAGACGCATCTTCTTCACCTGTTAATCGGACACTAAAAGTCAAGAACAAGATGCATAAACAAAACGAGGTAAGAATCAGATCAATGCATGTTTCTTATTTCTGTTTATGTTTCCTTTTCTGTTTCTGTATCCTCCTTTTCAATCATTCTTCTTGTTAATCATATGTAGAAGTAATCGTACTTTTTCTTTTCCTAGGATACTATGGTATCAATCTTATCGGGGACTAGTGATGCCATTTCAAAGAAGGTAAAGTCACATAACAAGGAGATCATCATCTCACCAACTCTTAGTGGCATAATTGAACTAGATTCAGAGGACTCCGATTCCTATAATGGCAAAGATTACATAGATTTGTCTTCTGATGACCATGATTCCGAATATGAGTACCCAACTTTCCAATCTCATTTTAATAACATAGATTCTCCCACCGGAATGGAATCCTCCAATCCATGGTTTCTGGATTCTGTCAACATGACTTCCTCAACTGGATTCACACACTCCACACACCCTGAACATCCAATGCTTTCCCCATCAATGGTAGTTCTACCTTCCAGGTTGGATACGAAAGGGGTAAAAACGTCTTTTGACCCTGCTAAAGTCACAAAAAGAACATCTGGTTCAAGTAGTTCCACTTGTCTTACTCTACGCTTACAAAAGAGTGCAATGAAGGTTAAATCTGTCAAAAAACGGGCCAAAACTCAGCCCCACAAAATGTCAATTAATTCAAAACAAATTACTCCTATGGAAGATGTGATATTGGAACAAGATTCTAGAAAGATTCAAAAGAGCTCAAATGTGGAGGAAAAGTATCCGAATTTTAAGAAGTTTGATATTGTTGAAGACTATTCTGATCATCACTATAAAGGGGCAAATTCGGAAACAATGCAGTCCCCAGGAAACTGGTCTAAAAAGATAGAAAAAGAATGGAGGATTCTCGAGAAGAATTTGCCTGGTATGTCTTTTTTTCTAGTTTTCACAACTTTTTTTCATCCATTTGGGTTGAATTAAATTCAAATTCCCATTATTTTTTCAATTACAGATACAATATTCGTTAGGGTTTATGAATCAAGAATGGATCTTTTAAGAGCAGTGATTATAGGAGCTGAAGGAACACCATATCATAATGGTCTTTTTTTCTTTGATGTGTTCTTCCCTAGCAACTATCCATATGTTCCTCCTGTATGTCACATCACATCACATCACATCTTTTCTTTTTTTTTTTTTAATTTAATTTCATGTTTTAATGGCTGATAATTATTATTATTATTATTATCAGAAAGTTTATTATCATTCTGGTGGGTTGAGAATTAATCCGAATCTCTATGAAGAAGGGAAAGTATGCTTGAGTCTTTTGAACACGTGGATTGGTGAGAGGAATGAGAACTGGACACCTGGCGTTTCCACTATGCTACAAGTTTTAGTGTCTATACAGGGTTTGATTCTGAATTCAAAACCCTATTTTAACGAACCTGGATTTGCAGATTCAAGTGGCTCTGATTATGGAGAAAATCAATCGATGTTATACAATGAAAGGACTTTGATTTATTCTCTTAAAACTATGGTTTACACCATGAAAAATCCACCCAAGGTAATGATTGACAAATGACAATGTTTCTAAAGCTGTTTTTGATGGTGAGGGTATTTACGTCTTTTTGAATGGATGCAGCATTTTGAGGATTTGGTGATTGGGCATTTTCGTAATTGTGGGGTTGCGATTTTGACAACATGTAGAGGTTATGTTAATGGTGTAGGAGTTGGATGTGGTGAAAAAAAGGGTACACGTGGATTTGGGAAAAATGTTGAGAAGTATATGGGGACACTTGTTGGGGGGTTTAAAGAAATAGGTGTCGAGAATTTGGACGAATTTGTCCCTCAAACTCGAAATCTAGCACAAAAGATAAGGGACTTTTTTGGTATTTAAGAGTCATCTTTATAATAATTATGTAAGTAATATAACCTTAGGTTTTGGTCTAACCTAAAACATAGGTTATAAAGACTTTTGTAAATAGGAAGAGACTTTTGGAAAATGGCAATTGAACTTTGTAGTTTTAATGGAAAATAATGACTTGGTTGCATGTGTAAAGTTCTTTACTAAATCTCTTTTGAATTACATACGCACCAAATCGTTTACACTGTAAACATATTTTATATAAATTTTAGTGTAGTAATTATAGTAATGATAAAACATTAATTTAATATTATATTGATCAAAAATTGGTTTGTGTGATGAATAGTGTTTGGCCATTATTCTTTTCCACAAACTTGAGGGGCACATAGATCTGATTTTTATCTTCGGATAAAAGGTTCCGGTTTAGATATTTATCTTAAATACTGAAATACAAGTCCTAGCCAAATTTGTTAATTACTTTACTCGAAATAGCCAAAAAAAAAAAAAAAACTAATTTACGCAACACTAAAATCGCAGATGGTTAGATCTCATTTGTGATTTCGGCATTCTATTTGCTATTTGGTGTCTGCTATTTTCTTCATATCTATCTACCATTTGCTAAAGGTTATAAAAAGATTATTTTTTCGAAATCTATTCCACCAAATTTCAAATGGGTTTTGTTCCATGTACGATATACTTTTATCCCATATGTGATTTTACGTTGATTTTTTAAATGACTTAGGTTTGACTATGAATTTGGTAAGGTTGACTACGAAATCAGATGTTGTTGACTATGAATTCGTACAAATGGGTAAATTTTATATAGAAGTTAGCAAAAAAGGTTTAGCTTTGATTTAAAATGAATGAATTTTTGAATAATAACGATCACTAAAGAGTTATATAGCAAACACGTTTTATAGAAATAGTCTTAGTCAACTCTTATTACTAGTCTTCTGCTTGTATTTAGGAATTAGTTGTAGTTTAGTCTATATATATATGTTGGGTGTATTCCTTGTAACACACATAGAAATATACATACTTTTCCTTCATTACACTGTTCTCTTCATCTTTATGGTATCAGAGCAAAGGGATTTTTTTTTTATCTGTGTCGATGACTACCAACAACAACATCCTTGGTTTTGCAACCAATTCCACCTTCCAAATCCCTCCTCTCAGTGTCAAATTGGACACGTCCAATTACCCCTTATGGCGTACCACCATCATCTCGGCTCTCGAAACCTTCGACCTGGAATCTTTTGTGCTCACACCCGATCCACCTGCAGAGACCCGTCCGATCGTTCCTGCCACAGGTCCCCCCACCACCGAGCCTAATCCCGATTTTCTGCTATGGAAGAAGCGTGATCGCTATGTTCTACTGTGGCTCAAATCGACAATGTCAGAGCGTTCCTTAGCCCTTGTTGCTCGTGCGTCTTCGTCTCACTCCGCTTGGACTATCCTCGCCAAGACGTTCCAAGCTCAAACCAGGGCACGACAGATCTCAATGCGAACCGAACTTCAAAACCTCTCCAAAGGCTCGTTGACCATGATTGAATACATCGAGAAGAAACGCTCAATTGCTGATGATCTTGCTGGAAGTCTTAAGCCGATCTCTGATGACGACCTAATCGAATACATCTTAAGTGGGCTGGACTCTTCATATGGCCCATTTACTTCAGCCTTTCTAGTCCAAGGTGAACACTCCACCCTTGATGATCTTGTTGGGCTCCTCTTACACGAGGAAGCTCGTCTTGAGCAGGACCACTTACGCCAACAAATTGCCGTCCCACCTGCTCCAAATGCATCCATTCTGTAACGACCCGTTCCCGGTACGTTAATTCATTGGTAATTGTTGTAAGTTTTCAAGAGGGACTCGGCGAGTTCTAGCCTGACTCGCCGAGTAGGGTCGCAACTTCGAGCACGCGTGAGCCGGTGACTCGGCGAGTCCATATCCCTGACTCGGCGAGTCCATCCGTCTGGGTGAAACCCTAAATTCCCGGGGTTGCCCACTATTTAAACCACCTTATAGCCCCCATTCTCGCCTCCCTCACCCTGAGAACACAGTGAGAGAACCCTAATCCTCCCTTGAGAGCTTATAAGTGTTTTGGTGCCATTTTGTGAAGGTGTGAAGAAGGAGAAGAAGAAAGAAGCAAGGAGAAAAGTTGTAGTGCAAGGATCCAAGGGCAAATCTGAGTTAATTAAGGTATTTTCGGAGTTCCCTTCTTGTTATATGCTTTAAACTTCCATTAGAGCTCTCCTAAGAGCTAGTTGATGCTTGTTCCAAGCCTTATGTTTGCATGAATGTCTTAATAAGTCGAAATATCTTTGGATCTGAATGATGGGGTGTTGTAGAGCCCAGATCTACTGTCTTTTTGGAGTTACTTTGCATATTAACCATAGATCTACCCATTTTGTGCATCTTTTAGCCTTATTTCCCTTATTCATGAGGTTGTACACGTAAAGTTGGAAACTTTACGTGGTAAATCAGCTTATTGGACCCAGATCTATCAATTGTATGTGTTGGATTCAAACAAAATCGAGTAAAAATCAGTTGCATGGCGGCAACTCGGCGAGTCGGAAGAACGACTCGGCGAGTTGGGTCGCGAGTTCCCGATTCCTTCATTTTTACCAGTGTCGAGTGAACCCAGTGAGCTAGAGAGTGGACTCAGCGAGTTGAGGGTAAACTCAGTGATGGAGGGACTCGGCGAGTTGTTCATCAACTCGGCGAGTCCAAGGCAATCTCCTTAAGATCAAGAACAACTCGTCGAGTTTGTTCATCCGGCTCGGCGAGTCGGATGAAGATTGTCTGAGTTTTGGATCAAGAGGGTACTCGTCGAGTCGATGCCAGACTCGACGAGTAGCAGCGAGTAAGAGTGAAAAGTGAGAGTAGGACTCGGCGAGTTGGGTGGCCCAACTCGGCGAGTCAGCCCAAAAGAGAGTTGACTTTGACCAAGGGTAAAAGAGTCATTTTACCCCAAGCGCAGTGTTTAGTATTTGATTGAGTGTGTTTATGGACTTGTAGCCGAGGAGATTCAGGAGCAGCAGCCGTTAGCTTCCCGAGCCACACACTCAGCAGCCAGCTTACGAGGTGAGTTTCCTTCCAGTAGGAACGGGTCTAAGGCCACAATGCCGGCCCGTTCAGTTAGCAGTAGTTTCCGGATTTAGGTCCGATGCAGTAGCTAGTATGTTCGATGCCTTCGTGGCTCGAACAGGATTTGTGTGCTATGTTTTATGTGTTAAGTATTATGTGTTCCGGGCTACGGCCCGATGTAGTATGCCGTATATGTGTTTATGCTAGTTGATGTGTTATGTTATGCCATGTTTAGTCAGTCAGTTCCGGACTTCGGTCCGATGCAGTTAGTTCCGGACATCGGTCCGATGCAGTTAGTTCCGGACGTCGGTCCGATGCAGGGGACAAGGTCCCAGTCAGTTCCGGACTTCGGTCCGATGCAGTTAGTTCCGGACTTCGGTCCGATGCAGGGGACAAGGTCCCAGTCAGTTCCGGACTTCGGTCCGATGCAGTTTCCGGGCTTCGGCCCGATGCAGTGGGCAAGGCCCAATATGTGTTTATATGTTATTGTATGGTATGTGGTAGTTTGGGGGAGCTCACTAAGCTTCGTGCTTACAGTTTCAGTTTTGGTTTCAGGTACTTCCGCAAGCAAAGGGAAGAGCTCGGGGTGACGGCATCGCACACACCACAGCTTTAGCTTTTAGCCTGGGATTGATTTAGTTTGTTTTGATTTGCCGTAGTATGATACAGTTTCCGCACAGTGTTTTCATTTATGTTGGAATACATCACGTATGGTTTTATTATATGACACCTTGATTATGGTTTTGATTATATCGAAAAAACGAAATTTTTGGGTCGTGTTTTTGGGTTGTTTCAAGTTGGTATCAGAGCCCTGGTTTGAGGGATTCGGATACACTTCCGGGTGTATCTGAACTCAAACTAAGGGAAATAAAAGATTTTAGTAAAATAAAAATGTTTTACAAAAAGAATTTTGAAAGCACTTAGAAAGAAAGAATTGTTTTTAACAAGATAGAGGTGTGTGCATGCGGTCAGCCGAGCTCAAGTAAGTACTCCAAATTACCCATACAAGTTATTTGTTCAGTTTCAGTTTCAGTAGAACAGCATGCTAGTATAGGGCTAAGGATCTAGGAGAATGCCTTATGTGCCTGCTTATGTGTTACAACTTTATGAGTATTGCATGCTAGAATTGAGTAGACAGCAGTAGGATAGCCTGTTTAGGTTATGCCTGATAGTATGAGTTTAGCATCCTATGCTAGTGCAGTTTCTTGTTATAAGAATAGTTTTGCCTGAGTCTGTTTCCCTTATCCGAATGCTGCTTGCTTCGTGCTTGATGGGGTTCTGAGTAATGGGAGTTAGCCATTAGGTGAACACGCCACACCACATGTAATCAGGATTGAATAATCCCAGAGTGCTGGAACTGGCCCTATTGCGCAGCTCTTTTTTGAGTCCAACCGTTGTAGGGACGGATCTTTTACTTGAAGGATTATCTGATCCTCATCACATGTGATGGTGTTTAGGTGGTGGCTAACTGGCATTATGAGGAGACATACGACAGCTGAGGACCAGTCGTGTTGAGCTTGAGTTTTCCTAGGGCAAGCCTAGGATGAGAGCAACAGAGAATAGCAGTAGTAGAGGTGACTTGGTGGAGTCAAGGCAGTTCTTGAGGAAAGTACGGATAGATGTGGAAGGTAGTATGGGCCCGTACTACTGAAAGCAGAGGCTCCGTACTCGAATCAAGGAAGGCCAAGGCAAGACCAGGAAGCTAGTAGTAGTAACATGATCCCTTGAGATATTTCAGTGTTCTAATGTTGTTATGATATGTTTCAGAATGGTAGTTTTGCGTCCGAGACCAGTAGTCGGCAGCTCAGATGCCGGAGGGGGATCCGGATCGGGATCAGGCCCGGAGGTCGGGCAGGTGGATGAGCAGACCAGAGAGTTCCTTTCTTCTGAGATTACCCGCATCATACTGGAGCAGACTCCTGTGATCTTCGGTTCGATCAAGGAGGGTATTTTAGAGCTGATGGATGAGAGATTGAGTACTTTCCGTGCTGAGATGGCGGCCGTGATGGGGTCGCGCACACTTACGTTCAGGGAGTTCAGGGCATGCGGAGCTCCAGACTATCATGGGGCGCGGGGACCCCATAGCAAGTACCAGATGGTTGGCGGATGTGGCCAACGCTTTCCGCACTAGCAGGTGTCCCGAGGGGGACAAGGTCA